TGGCAACTTCGAATTCTCAGGCAGGATTTATAAAAGCTACAATAAACCTAGGGGAAGCTCATTAAAGACCTGGTGAAATTTTCCTTGTAACCCTTTCCTCAATCTCATAGCAGTTCTGAATATCATCAGTAAACTATTTTTTTATATCTGGGGCAGGGAGGGAGTAGGCAGAGGACTCTAGATATATGGGCAGGGCCGGCTCCAGGCACCAGCCGAGCAAGCTCATGCTTGAGGCGGCATTCCGCCCAATCCTAGGGCGGCACGGCCACTTTTGTTTTGTTTTGTTTTGTTTTTGTTTTGTTTGCCGATCCGGCCGCCCTGTAGGGGGCGGTGGTGCAGAGGAGGGGAGCGCCCTGCTGGGAGCGAGCTGCGCGCGCCGTCTGCCCCAGCCGGTGCCAGGTCTGTAGCAAGCCCGGCAGGGCAGCCCGCGTCCTTCCCTCCCCGCTGACCGGAGCGGCGCGGAGCCCTCCCGGCAGGCGGCGCAGCAGTTGGGGCCGCGTGGCGAGCGCCCCACTGAAACCCTGGCCGTCTCCCTTCTCTCTCTCCCCCTGCTCCCTCCCCCTCCCCCCCGCTAGCCGGGGCACGTCTGCAGCGCGGGGAGTCCCCCTGCACCCTGGCTCCAGCCACACCACAGAGTTGTTGTTGTTTTTTTCCTTGCTTTGCCACTCCGGCTGTGCTGCTAGTTTTTTTTTTTGTTTGTTTGTTTTTGCTTTGCCGTTCTGGCTGCCCCAATTTTTTGTTTTGTTTTGTTTTTTCGCTTGGGGCAGCAAAAAACCCAGAGCCGGCCCTGTATATGGGCCTAGATTTTCAGACATCTTAAACATGCAAATATACACACAAATTAAGTAATTACATATACACATGTATCCAATTAACTAATTGCGTGTACAATTATCCGATTTGCATATACAGTGCCATTAATTGCATGTATAAATTAAGCATAGTTTCATGAACTTTTTTCCACGTGTGTTTATAGTCTGGAAATCTGGTGTCTGAATATGGTATCTTTACATTTAATGTGAGAAAGGATAGTCCAGTGGTTTGGGCTCTTGTCTAGAATATGGTAGACCTGTGTTCAGGACTCTGCTTTGCCACTCTTGCCTTTTGTGACCTTAGGCAAGTCACCTAGTCTCTCTGTGCCTCAGTTCTCCATTTGTACAACGGGGATAATAGCACTGCCCTACCTCACAAGGGTGTTGTAAAAATAAATACATTAAAGATTGTGAGGTGTTCGGCATAATAAGGGTCGTATAAATACCTAAAATAGATAGACTACATAACACACTTCTACATGAAGCTGGCATGCTGTTGCATCAGCATACTGTGATGCAATATTATTGCCCCAAAAGTATCATTATGTTACAAAAAAAAGATCACAGCATGGTGTCTTCAGAAACTAGCTTCAAAGCTTCACCCTCCTAAAAATAATATTATATTAAAAGTGAATGGAGAGCTGGTGGAATGGGCCAGATTTAAAGCCTTTCAGCCTGAAATCCTGCTTATCCATATGAAAGTCCCAGGCAGCGGGCTTGCAGGCTGTTTCTGCCCTGAGCAGAGGGTTATCTATAATAATATTTCAGCCTTCATCCCCACTCAATTTCTTGTCCCTGCTGCTGAAAGTGAAACAATGATTAGGAAGTTCAAGGATGTGGTCTTGTCCACTAAGAACTGGACTTGGGCCCTGCCCCTTCCAGGAGAGGGCAACAACTTTTGGTCTCTATCAACCTGAGCTGCTTTCAGATGAATGACTGATGTGGAAAAGTCTCCATTATCATTTCCTCAACCTTTACAATTCTCTTTTTAAAAAATGGGCAAATTTTTCAAAAATTAGTGCTTAAAGTTAGGCTCCTAAATCCCTATTTAAGCAGTTATATAAATGACCTGATTGTCAGAAAGACGGAGCACATGGAGCTCCCATTGGCTTCACTGGGGATGCTTGCCACCTCTGATAATGAGGCCACATTTTTAGGTCCCTAAATACAGATGTAGGAGCTTAGTTTTGGGCACCCAGATTTGAAAATTTCGGCCCATATGCTTAGAAAAACGGATTTTAAAAAAATCACTCTTGAAGCTGAAATCTAGTGGTTCATCTCTTAGCTAGAGCTTGTAACTAGTGTTTGTGAAGCACTGACCCCCTCCCAAACTCACAAGGGATCACTTTTCTCTTTGAAAAGCAGCTTATTATTAGGAATCAAAGACGTTTCAGATACAAAATAATTCCCCAAATTAGGGTTTGTCAGATATAGGTTTGCATTCCCCACCCTCCCACCCCGTTAGGTTGAATATATCTTGCAACTGGATCTAAACTAAAATTGATTCACCTTTCTCCTCCTTCAATCACTCCCTTCTCCTTTCATTATCTTTACCCCTCTTTTCTACAATAGCTCTGCATCATCATCTGAGCTGTACCCCCTTAAGGCAGCAGTATTATCCCAAGCACATCCGGCAAAGGCTTCATTAAATTGCTGCTACTTTTTTGGTACCCGCCGGACACTCGCAGTCATCCCAGGGGCTTTGGCAGTGAGAGAAAGCTAGTCTTGCAGCTTATCAAGAGGGGAATGTGAATGGAAGTAGAGAGAGCCAGCAAACAGTTAATGGTTTAATACTTTACAAAAAAAGAATGTGAAAGGAAGTGGAGAGAGCCAGCAAACAGTTAACGGTTTAATACTTTACAAAAAAGTCAAGACAGACTTGTGATTCTTGATGTTAATGAAGGTGTCACACATTGTCTAGAGAAAGTTGTGCCTGGCAATCTTCCTTTTTTCGGATGCCTACACCACTGACATTTCATCTCGCATTCAAAGAGCACTACCTTAATGAAATGCATAATTAACATATTCTAATTGTGCTGAGCGCTGTGATGATTTTGACAGAACTCACTTTCCATGTCTAATTTGATGCTAATTTAATCTGTTCCTCTCCCGCTGACATGACCTTTCTTGATTGAGTTTCACTGAGGAAATTTTTTGATGGATTGATTTATCAGCATTGCGGAGACAACAAAGGCTCAGGGTGCATGACAGAAAATGGGACAGGAATGGCCCTCAAAGCCTGTATGCTCTGAACTTTCTGGCTGTAATGTCCTCTTTCCAGAGACTGCTTGTCTGATCTACTGATGGAATTCAAGAAATGTGACATCTGTGTGCGGGTTTGATCTCTGCGATAAATACAGTAAATATCTTATTGTGCTTGTGAATCCCTTGAAAGGAAAACTTCTTCAGCTCTCTCTGTTATTCAGTAGGAAACGTCATAGGCCACTGACTAACAAAACAATGTGATCAAGTGCAGACACGCGGTAAGCTTCCTCTCTATAGTTTGTACTCATTTTGCTGGACGTGCTTTAATTAATCTAGTCATATTGGCAATCTAAGGTGCAGTGAAGTAGGATAGTCCTAGCGTAATTGTAAAATGTACTATGGAATGTACATATAATCAAGTTACTAGGTGTCTTCTTCAAACTTCAAGTAATTTTTGCTAGATGTATATGTAATGTATATGTAATATAAAATAGGTGTGTGTAGGTGTATATACGTGTATACACATTATATATGTGTGTGTAAAACCACACAGAAAGTATTGGCGGATGTGTTTTTTCCTCATGTTGTGAAATTTATCCATTGCTGTACAGAATATGTGGAGCAGACAGGGGGACGGGGGTTGGTGGAGTTGTGAATCTTATATGGCAATACTAGTTGGTACATCAAATCTGCTATCCTGGACCAGGCGGCCAAATATCAACTGAATTATAGGATAGTAACCCTTTCTTACTTTGAATCATATCTCTAGCCAATTGTGCAGGTCTTTACATGGGAAGAAAACAATTACTTCCTGACCCTTACAGCAATCCGTTTTACACCCTGAAGCATGAGATTTGATTATCCTTATCTTAACATGAATAACTACAGATGATGTTGATCATAAAAATTATCCAGCCTCTTTCTGTGCATGCTGACTGTGTGTTTTCACATCCTTGCAAAAGCAGAGAAGTCATCTCTCCCTGTAACAAATTTCCTTAAACAAGGTATAATTGGCAACATTAATGAATATTATAAACCCCAAGCACATCAATTCTTAATTTTTAGCTTTAGTGCCTCATCTAGCTGTTGATATTTTTTTAAGGGAATATATATTAACTTCCTTTAGAAGTTGCTGGGATAGTCGCTTTCAAAAAGGGGCATATTAATTAAAGTCTAGGTTGGTTTGTTATAAATGACTGAGCTATATCAAGCCAGTAATGGGTCCAAGATAATAACTTAAAAAACTAGGCAGGGGAGTGCCAGCAGCCTTTTACCAGAGTGCAAAGTGGGTCTAGGATTTTTATAGTTAGGGTAAGAGGGCTGCATATGCCACTCAAGCGGACCTTGTAAGTGGCAGCATAACACCACAGAGCCTTTTTTGGCAGCAGCCTGTGATGTGACCTATATTCCTGTTCAAGGAAGGTTCAAGTTTAATGGCTACTGATTGAAAATGCAAGGGGAATTTTGAAAAGTTGTGTTGAGGAAAGTAGGATAACTCCCCTGGCTGGGTCAGTATTGGGTGCCACAGTATTGGACACACACCCTACAACCATGGAGAATCCTGGAACTACAGAACCAATGAAGTTCCATTGCAAAGTTTGGTGGGTGTATGGAGTGGGCTGTGTGGGACAGGATTTGAAGGGCCTCTGTGTGCTGCCAGGAGGTTTTGTAGAGGGACAGTCTGAGGGAGGGACAGAGTTGGTTGAACCACAACTATGAAGATCTATCAACTCTTCCCCTTTTGGAAGAGGATTGCACTGGTCCCAAGGGCTGGGACCTTACACCTGAGCTCAACACTCGGAGGGGAAGAATTCCTTCCCCACCATTCCCAGATTGGGCCTCCCTATTACATATGTGACTCCTGCTCTGTGGTGGACACAGAGAAAATGGTAGAATCTACCTAGAGCTGAGGGGAAAATTTTGGACAAAACTTCTTTTTCCAGAAAATGCAGATTTGGGCTGAATGAAAAATTTCATGAATTTTGTTGAATTTGCTGAATTGTTTCAATTAGTTGGAAAATGGGGGGACATCCCAAAAAATCAAAACATGTTGCCCGACATTTTCTAAATGAAACATTTTGAATTTTCGATTAAAGGTTTTCATTTCGAATTTTACTTCCATTTTTCTAAAATTATTTTAAAAATAATCGTAATCATCAGATCATATGAAACATTCCATTTGATTGGATACAATCTTTTTTAAGTGAATTTTTTTTTTAAATCAATTTCTCAGTTTGGCCACCAAATTGAAAAACCGGTTATTTTCACAGCTCTAAATGTATCTTACATTTTAAACTAGCATAGCCCAAATTCTGCTCTGGCTTAAGTGGTTGCAGCTCCATTAAGTTTAGTGGAGTTGTACTCCCATTCATTAGGTCTGAATTTGGCCCATTAAGTCTACTCTGCCTTCTGGCCTGGGTAGAGAGACGTATGCTACTTCTGCTTGAGCTAATGTGCTAAAAAAAAGCAGCATGGATGTTGTGGCACAGGTGATGGCACAAGCTAGCCCTCTCAAATACAAGCCGGTCTGCCGGCCTGGGTCCATACTGGCTAACTTGAGCATCCGCCCATCCTGCAAAGTCAATTCCATGTTACTATTTTTAGCACACTAGCTCCAGCCAAGCTAGCATATGTTTGTCTACCCAAGCTCAGAGGCAAGCTATCAGTTGCAGTATAGACTTATCCTTAGAGTAATGTTTTTAAAAAGAGAATGGCAGAACTCACCTTGCAATAGATTTTTCTCCTACCAGGATCTCAACACTTGTTTGCCACAGAATAGTCAGTGCTAATTAACTCCCCAGCCCTGGGGGAGAGGGAGGAAAAACTGACAAGTCTGGCACCTGAATATGCATTATGGCTATGTCTGCTGGATGACTGCTTACCAAAGTGTGTAAGCCACCTTATAACTGTGAAACTATGAGTCACTCAACCTTATTTACTCTAGATACTGTGAGGCAGCCTGATCTGTTACTGTAATTCCGTCTCAATCTGTATCCATGAGATCAAAAGAACAGAAATCCAAAGTCATAAAAATACAGATGTATAATAGGGTAAAACTAACAACTTTATTAGGGAAAAATGATATTGCATGGTTTTAAAGCAGATCAAAAGGCAACTAAGCCTAATAAAGATGCAATAGTTGGTGACTTCAACTGCCCCACGTAAACTGATTATATGTCAGATCAAAACAAGGTTTAAAGAATCAATTTCTTGACAATTTAAACAGTAACTTCTTGGAACAGCTAATTCTAGACCCCACAACACTTCAGTTGGATCTGTTGTGTGCTCTCTTCTTTTGAAAATCAGGGGGGTCTGTATTTATGCCAATGTCCATATTTAGAAGTCTAACTTTATGACCTCATTTTGTGTTAAATCTGCCCGGCTGGACAATTAAAGGCTAATAATTATTTTTATTGTTCTTAGATTATTTGGAATGCACTCTTTCTTCACAATGAAGAGGGATGTTCTGTCTGTTCATTTATATATATATGCCATCTACAATATATGCCAAACAACCATGCCCTCCAAGAAGAATCGTAGTTGGTATTTTCATTCGTGGCTACCTGGAATAGCTTATGGCTATTTTACTGATAAAACCCAATTGGAAGTATGGAGAATGGAATTGAGCTTGCAGTCAAGCCTGTTCATCATATGCTCTTTTTTCATTAGACCAGTTCACTTCAATAAAATCCTGGGCACTTTTGATAAGACAGCATTCAAGGAACAAAGCTGTTAGGAAATGACTTGCTCATAAGTTCCAGCAATAATTTTTGGCCTTAGTATATTACTTGGTGTTTTTCATTGTCAGTGGAAAATGAAAATGTAGCATTTCAATTGTAACCCATTAGAAATGTAGCAATGCACACTGTTCTTTGCAGTTGATTTACAAATTGCACCAGAATACTTCTGTGAACTTTTGATCTGCCAATACTCATGGTTGGGGGGAGGGGCATGGAAACAACAACATTCCAAGCAAATGCCCATTAATTTGAATGAATGAATATTCAAGAAGGAGGGTTTTCTTATCAAGGTTTATACAGAATGAAAAGTGAAAATTGGTAAAACTATATTTGGTATAAACAAAACTTGAAAATAACAAAGTAGGAGAAATTTTGGGATCAGAGTATTTTGCAAAATGGACACATTTTACCCTAAAATGGTTGAGGTTAGAGGACAAGTGAAGGCATTTGGAAAGTTGAAAGAGGGGGAAAAAATCTGGTCTATGGACTTAAGGAGATGTAGTGGGCCACTCCATTACATGTGTGTTGGTGTATTTATGTCTCAGTTGTTTACAACATAATTATGGAGTCTTTTAAACAAAATTGGGTATAGGATGTGTGTGAAAAGTGCTCCATTGTAGACATGTAGCTTGGCCTGTGAGAGAAATGGTTTGGAGGGGGCACACTGATAATTCTAGATACAATATTGGCTAACGTAGAAGCAGAAATGCAGTGTCTTTTTTCATGGTGGCAGTGCTAGTAGTTGCATTGGCAATAAACCAAATGAAGACCTTGGAAATCATCATGGTAGAGTGGATTTGCAGTGAGATAGAATGGGAAAGACCATAAAATCTAGAGAGAGATAGAGAAAGAAAAAACATGTTTAAAATCCCTAGCAGGAAATGGGTGTGTGAATATAACATGGACGCATCAGTAGTAACTCCATAATTAAGAGTGCATTGAGATATGCACATGCACAGAGGTGAAAGTGTACACTGAGTCCTCTTTCAGAGTGGTAGAATACCTACCTTCCCTCAGGGATAAGACAGTACCTTCAGGAGCAACATCTGTGACAATGAACCTATATACAGTACCACTCCGTTCCATGCATTGACAGAGTCCACCATGTACACATGGCTTTTCATGGTATTCTTTGAAGATATGTAGTGAGGTTTTATGAATCTCAGTTAAAACAGAAACAATTATTTAAGCCTTAATGACTGATGTTGTAATTTTTAACCATATATCCAGGTAAGATGGGCCATTTTAAAGATTGAACTGAGTTCCCATAGGATGATAGGATCATCAGCTATTAAAGGAGTTTTTTATTTTTGTTTTTTCTTCTAAAGTTTGACCAAAATTTGGGAAGGAGAGACTAATTTTTTCATTCATAAAAATGCTCACACAATCTAAGGCTTTCTGATTTACCTAACAGATAGGGAGGATTTTTCTAAACTGTGAGATATTGGATACTTTAAGTTTGGACATTTTAGGATCTCTCTCTTATTTTGGAATATTTCAGAGTATGAAGTTATACTTCTGTATTTATGTCAAAAAGAGAATGCTGTTGGAAATGTAGGATTTTACGATGTATGCAACTGGAATAAAGTAACAGTTCAAAGTCACATCTGTAAGAATGTTAAATGAATTGTGCAGTAAGTTAGCTTACATTTTCCTCAACCTCTGGATTTCTAAAGTTATGGGATCTACTGTCTGAATCTGGGTACATTTGTCACAATCCCAAAGAAATTAAGGTTTTTGCAAACCCCGTGACCTCATATTAGAGTCCACTCTCAATCATAGAATAAATAAATACAAATAAAAAATCTGACACTGAAGTCTGTAATGCGAGTCTTTTTTCCAAGGAAATATTATTGAGGTGCTGAACAACATCTGATCACTTTCAGCCCCCTCAACTGATGCTGTATTATTCACGTATATTTCATTATGCAGCAGATGGTGAATTCTGTCATTGATTTTTTTCCTACAGATTCACAAAACTTCAATGGGCTCTAATCTGACCCCGAAAAGGAGTTGGAAAAGAAAATGCTTGTTAAGTTTTTATCTTCAATAATAATCCATTGACAGAGGATAACAGCCAAACCCCATAGAAAACAAAAAAGGCACATTTGCCTTATTTTATGAAGAGCATTTGTCTAAAATGACTGAACTGAGGAGAGTGGCCTTCAGTTGAAATGAAAGATGGTCCTTCTGTTGCTATACAAAGCTCTATTTGCGGCAACAAAGCACAAAAGGAAAAGCTGACAAACTGATAGCCAGAAGTGTAGGATACTGGTATTCATCTTCACAAACATCTGCATATTTGTGGAGGTTTTTAAATGGAAATGTTTCATTTAAAGTATGCAAATTACAAATTTAAGATCATCATCATATCAAGTTCTGAACATTTCTGGCAATATTTTTACTAGGATTTCTATAACTGCTTTGGTCACTTAACAAATATCACATGACCATGTTTATATTTTTAAGGCTGAGATTTTTTCAAAGCCACCTAAAGGATTTGAGGGCCCAATTCCCATTAAAATTAAAGGGTATTGGCTTCCAAATCCTTTAGGTGGCTTTTAAAATCTCATTCTAGATTGTTGGTAGAGTTATTCTATGAATGGTGCTGCCACAAATTATTAGGTCAATTTATATGTAGTAACAATTAAAATAATTTGAATAGTAAATAATCATATACTTGTATGATGTCTTTCCCACAAAAGGATTTTAAAGTGCTTTAAAAATGTAGGCCCTGGTCCTGTGAACACTTATGCATATGATTTACTTTAAACATCTGAGGAGTCCCACTGACTGAGGCATTCATCCTGAAACAGACTCAATGAAGTTTCACATAGTTGCAGGATCAGCCCTTACTTGATGTAGTCAACTCTGAGGTGAAACACAGCAACTGTTTAATGGCGCAGAGTGATACTTTTGTATTGGTTAGGGCAGGATTACAGAATAATCATTTATTTAAGGATTTGGGGATTTGGCCTATTTTTTTTTAATTATTATTATTATTATTTAGTTTTATTTATTATTCTGTCCTGCACTTCCCCCTCTTCTTGCGTATATCTCTTTTCCCCACCCTGTAACTGTAAACTCTGTGCTACTCTGCATTTGTACAATGCCTAGCACAACGGGACAGCTAGAATGTTAACAAATATTCAACCTTAGGTTCTGTTCCTGTAAAAGTGTATGCACATGCTTAGGTTTAGTTATATGAGTAGTCCTACTGACTTCACTGGAACTACTCACAGAAATAAAGCTAAGCAGTTGTCTAAGTCTTTGCAAGATTGTGCCTATGTTCTGAATTTACCTGCTTGTGTTCAGGGACATGCTAACTGATATTACAGTAATATAATAATTTTATAGTACAGTAGTGCCAATGGGTCAGCTCCTCAGCTGGTGTAAATCAGTGTAGTTCCATTGACTTCAATAGAGCTACTCCAGTCTGAGAATCTCCCCCATTATATTTTTTGGCAGGGCAGGCCATTTAGACACTGATATTTCGGTTTTGTCAAGATGTTTTAAGACTCTGCCTCTGAGTAAGGCAAGCACGAAAGAATCAGCATGAGTCTAACTAAACAACAAATTCGGCCCCATGCCTGCTTCTCGCCAAGAACAGTGCCCCAGAATCTGAGCGCTGCTGTGTGTTTACTGGCCCTTTCATAACACTGTCAGTGTCGGAGAGTTGGTAAATAGAGAACTCATCCAGGAGGCTGTCAGATTCTTCTGCACTGCTGCACACCCCAAGTTGATATGCTAACTCCTCTGCCATTTTGCCAGTAAGTCTGAGTTTAGAGGCTGGGTCAAGAAGGAATTACACATTTCCAGTAGGCTTTCCTTCAGGGAAAATTATTTTATTTTAGCATTTTTTCCCCAGTACTGTCATGAAAAAGGCAGATACTTGTTTCTTTTCCTAAAGAACAACTCTCCAATTGTTGAGTACCCTCAGGGTTCCTTTATATGATACTCCCACAACTAGTCATTTCCCTATAATGCCTTAGTATTTCTGACATCATACATGCTAACCAGCTTGCAATCATTCCCCAGCACTGCCAGTATTATTATTACTATTTGTATTACAGCAGATTCCTAGAGGTCCCAACTGAGATTTTGATCTCATTATAATAGGCACTGGGAAAACACATAGGGAAAGACAGTCCCTGCCCCAAGGAGCTTGGATTCTAAATAGCCAAGGCAGACAACAGGGAAACAAAGAGGCACCAATAAGTAAAGCGATTTGCCCAAGGAGTCAGTGGCAGAATGAAGAATAAAAACAATATTTCTTGGGTCATAAGCAAGTGTTCTGGGATAGCTGGTGCTCCTTGTTTTGAAGATTGGTACATAACCTCAACTGCAATTTAATTTCAAAAATCAGGCACACAAAATAAATCTTTAAGTCTTGGTTCTACAGATATTGGCAAATTAGATCCAAATTGCAAACAGGTTGTTTTTTTTCTTTTTCTTTTTCTTTTTTTTTTGGTCTTCTATGTTCATAGTTAGGTGCTAGTGCAGAGAAAGACTTTTTGAAGACTTTTTGTCATGTACTAGTAACATCTTTCAGATCCTTAGTACGAGAATGTTAGAACCCATGCAAGTGTTTTTAATTGCTCAGCCACTCATTTGATTAGTTGACAATTTCAGTTCATAATGTTTCTTGATAAGTGTGATGAGGTAGTAGAAGCAGGTTATATCCTATCATTGTGCTGGCAAAAACTTCCACAGACTGTGAAATGAACTGTGTGGCAAAAATAAAATAAAACCCAGTGCCTCAGGTTTTTCTAGAAGGCTGCTTGCAGATTCTCTCATTCTGCATGTCAGTGAAGTGTGTCATGTCCACCACGAGTGACTGTGGAATCTTTTCCATCAATTGTGAAAAAAGGAAGAAAAAAAAGAGGAACTTGTTTTGCAGAAGCCCAGGTGAACTTCACTCTTTTTCAAAAGTGAAATAAATTCTTTTTTTTCCTGATTGTCTCACTCCCATTAGCTTCATTGGTATGATTAGCCTTTTTGGAAGCGTCTTCCATAGGGAATTCTATAGAGATGAAATACAAAGAACTGCTTTAAAACTATAAATCATAATGTGCATCCAAATGATCAGTGCAATGTCCAGAGGTGATTTGCACACTAATTTACCATAAGTGCACACACAATCATGGTAACTACATGTGCAATTTTGTTATGCTATATTTCTGAATTTTTTCATGTGTGCAATGCTAAAAATTTGGGCCTAAATATCCAACTTGTCAGAAAATAGGGAAACAAATGGAAACTGTGAAAATGTTTGTGGATTTTTTATTTATTTATTTATTATTGAAATTTTCCAACCAGGTCTAACAACCAGTAAGGAAAACCAGTCAATTTGTCAAATATATTATCAATAGGCCTCTGATATATAAATCTAATTTAGCTATGATCAGCACTTTTATTTAAAAATAATGCAAATGTAAATTTCTAGCCTATAATTATAAATTGTCATAACAATTACTTGGAGTGCGTCATAAAATGGGTTCCTTCTTCTTACTGAGCTCCTGTTTTGGGGTTGGGGGATGTCTGAGTCATCCTCTGTTCCGCATTTCCTGTAGCCAACAATGGGAACTGAGAGTGATCTATATATAAACTGGAGACAACCAAACACTTACATTTAGTTTCAATTTCATTGTAAATTTACTGAGGATTTTTTTAACCATTAGCAAGATCTTAATGTATCCAGGTTTCAGAGTAGCAGCCGTGTTAGTCTGTATCCGCAAAAAGAACAGGAGTACTTGTGGCACCTTAGAGACTAACAAATTTATTAGAGCATAAGCTTTCGTGGACTACAGCCCACTTCTTCGGATGCATAC